GACCATCTCAAAAGAAGGGTTAGAGCTCATCGAAAAAATTCAGGTAATGTCACACAGCTTATTGATGCAGCATTAGCAAAATGGGAAAATATACCCCAAGACAATGTTGACAATTTAATAAAAAACATGACAAGGCGAATAGAAGCTTGTATGAGGGCTAGAGCTGGTAACACGGATTATTCAAATTAATTATTTTTATTGCTATGTGCGTTATTTGTCATTAAAAGTCTTTGGCATGGACTGAGTTTTATTTGTAAACAAAAATTATGAAAAATAATAGATGACAACTATCGCATTTTTCTTAAACATATCAGCAAAAATATTGAACTAAAATCAATATTTCAAATTATTTAATATGGGCACAACTTCCTTAACTTAAATTTTTATGAGTGTATATATCTGTTCAATTAAAAGATGCTTGTTTTTTTAAATATTTTGGGAGCTTTTCTAATGCTTCAAAAACTGTATTTATAATGAAATACGAGAACAACAACTTAAAAGGGGGACGATCATGAATATACAGTTTCATCTTGTAAATCTTTGATATGGATTTGTATATTGGAAAAGTTAGCACATAGGAAAGCTTATAATTTAATCACAAAAATGTATTCTGGATTTGAAAACAAAATTCTTTATGCAAGATGGTTATGGACAACCTACACAATGTTTAAGAGTTTTCAAAACTTTTAAATCATATCTTTCTAAGATGGTTAGGAACAAATTAATACGGAGAATGGTCTTTAGATTCTAAAACAAAACAAATCTCAGGATGTGGAATGTAAGATTCCTAAACCTTAGCATAAAATTGGCTGTGAGCAATAGTGCAAATGTTGTTCAAACTAAGCTCACAGCTTTTCTTATAGCAGCAAAAGAAATTACTATCAGAAACAATATCACTGGAATAAACATGCTAATTTATAAAGATAGCAGACAAGCACTATTCACCCTGGACGGGCCTTGAATACACTTAAGGTTAGTACTAGAATGTCATGAAGTTTTGACAGGTAACTTGATGTGGTAACTTTAAGATGGATCAAATGTTACACCACATCGAAAGGTAACCGTCTTGCCGATTCACTAGCGAAGAAGGCAGCCATCCATACTTTTTGGACCTGGCTCCTCTATTGGTCTAACAACATCGGGAGTGTCAAAGCTAATTAAAGAGCATTCCCTTGTGATATTCAAGAAAAGGTGGAATGAAACAAAAAGCTGCAAAGTTGCCAGAGAGCCTAAACCTTTTACGTCGCAACCATTTCTAAGAATGCAGTGCCTACAATTTTTGAATTGTAGTATAGACAGAAACTGTGCCTGATTATATGCATTCTGACTGGTAATTACCAGGTACGGAAGCATCTCTATATCATGGGGCTGTCATAATCCACTCTATATAGGACTTTCGAACAAGAATACTATCGAACATATATCCCCATGATTTCCCAAAGCTCTCATTTAATAGAAGATTTTCAAATATATCAAATGTGTATGCTAGCTGACAAGCTAAGAGGGGCCTATCAATTTAGGAGAAGTCGCACTGGGCCTACTGAAGCCTAAGTGCCCTGGGGCAACCTACCCTTAACACACTACAACCTACCCTTAACACACTATAGATAAAGAAAAAAATAGTTAGCAACAAATGGATACGGAAAATTACCTCCAAGGTCTTCAGATTTGAAACCAATTTATTTTTATAGGAAATTCTCAAAAATATAATTAGACAATATAGGCAGATACTTTTAAACGCATTTAATAATACAATTACACCCGAAAACGTAAATTGTGAAATAACTGGAAGGTTATAAAATGTCTTGAATAAGGGGATATTTAGAGCAATTTCTACAATAAATATTCAATACATTAGGTTTACTACAACAAGGATCAGAAACAAATCACAATTTTGATTTGAATATAATTTTGTAAATTGCATAATTTCAGTCGGAAATGCAGATGTTATGATGTGATTTTTGTCTCCCTGTGACAAAGTTCTATTTGACTGAATGACTGCGCATTGCGCAGTATATAATTTTGCGATCCCAATGATCTACTGCGCAGAATCTTGGTGTCAGTGACTAATTTCTGATTGTTGTTGGAACAGACTTATTATAATTTCAAGTTACCTATCTGTAATTCAACAGTTGTTTGTTTCAGTAGCATTTTATATTTTCTGATGTTAAATATTCACAGGGGCGGCTTGTGGCAAAAATTTTGGGGGTTCATAGTAGCAGAATAAAGATCCCGGTACAGATATAGGTAAAACACTGAAAGTTTTTTCATACATCTGTACTGATACCCATATTCTGTCACTATGAACACCCCAACGAGCCGCCACTGAATATTCAATAGTTCAACATTCTCAGTTTGTATTTTTTTTTAAGATTTAGAAAAATTTGAAGTAAAACTGGAACAGGTTTCGTATTAAAAAAAAAAATAGTTGAAGGAGGCGCTTTAAACACGTAACATTCTTTTAAAAATGAGGTTAAGTTATATTTAGCGGTATTTGACCTTGAACAAAACAAAAATGTAGTTGAATGTTATTCTCTTCTTCAGAATAAAGGTGTTAATTAAATATAATGAAAATCGTCAATCAAGATTTTGCCCAAATAATATTTTTGAAACCGGACCTGAAGGAGTTTAATGAATTATTTTAAAATAAATCAGTTAACAATGCTTTAAAAAAGCAATGAATACAAAAAATTATATTTTAAAGCTTTTTAAATTTTGAACATTTTTGTATAAGGAATTCTTAATTTTTTGTTTTTCGTTAGCATTTTTCAAGAATAACTCATTATGCAGGATTAATTTATTAGGGAATAGTTAACCTAATAAAAAAAAGATTCTTCATATTACATTTTGAATAGTATTTAATGATCAAATCAAGACTAACAGGAGAAAATCCCATAAAGTTTAGTATGCAGATAACTGGTAAAGAAATTATTAAAAAAAGGAATGACTAATCAAGATGCTATAGTAATGATTATTTTAATAGTAAAAATTACTTTTACTTAAGAATACACGGGTTTACTTTTACGAAATTGACAAATACTAGAAGAGGCTAAAAACCTTTTTACAAAATCTTAAAAATGTTTTACACTTCGTGGTATTAACAACTATTGAAAATTAATGACAGTTTATAAAAAATAGTGACAGCAGTTATATTCCAAACTGTTCTTAACTGTTATTGAATGTATTATTACTAGTAAGATAACTGTTTGTCCTACTGAAGATCATTTTTATGATTTTTCTACCCTGACACCAAATTACGTATAAGAGTATTTAGAGTAAAATTACTCGGCCAGAATATCATGTTTATCGGAAATCTATTTTCTTTCAAAAAATATATTCATTCTGTCATTGGCGGCAGAAATGTAGCTTAAAAAGCTTGGCACAATAGGAAAATAAACAATAATTTAACAAATAACAAATAAATATTGCAACCCATAAATATTACCGGATAATTAAAGGCTATCTCAAAATAATATCTACTTGTACGTTATTCTTTAGATTGTAAGCTGAGTAATCAAAAACAATATTACTCAAGAATTTTTTTTATAACAATGTAATTAAGAAAACAATAAATCAAAACGTTAACTAACAACTTTTCAATGTAATATAACGTAAATTTAATTCTCAAGATTGTATTATTGTTTTTAATACATTGTCGAAGTGAGAATTTGAGTAATTAACTATAATTTTGAAAAAAGGCTCTGAATAATCATTTCTCAACAAAATATAAAGAATTAATTTTTTAAATTAAAAAAATTTCTGATAAAAATTTATAAAATGATTCGTGTATTTGATATTATTTGTATTGTATTTGTTCACATATTTTATATGCTCTAATTAATATTTTAGCATTAAATTTTTACTCTTTATTCATTATTTATTATACTCTTCACACAGTAGTCTGTGAAGTGTACGTATTCGGTTTTATCCCCCATTGAGGGGGATTAAGGGGGTTGAGAGGGTTGAGGGGACTGAGAGGGTTTGAGGGGCGTTGAAATATTAAAAAAAATCCCAACTCAAAAACGAAAAAGATATCAACTTAAGGTTTAATGAAAAGCGATATCAACATGATTTTTTTTAGTAAAAATCGATCTATGAGGAAATGAAGCCTATTAATTCTGAAAAAAAACGCGATGAAATTGAAATATTCAGGAAAAATCAAGCTTTATAGGGGGATGAAGCCTATTGATTCTGAAAAAAATCTGATCAAAAATGGGGGTTGGGAAAGGGGTCTGTTAAACAATGAAGAGTATAATATAGAATGCCAAGCATTATACAGGGTGTTTCAGATTTAAACGAACACAGCATAATGGGAGGTAGAGTACGCTTAGCCGAGTTCAAAACATCCCCATATCTATCTTTTAATCTTACTCGTTTCTGAGATATAGGGTGTTTTATGATTTTTTGCCAAAACTTATTGACAGTTACAGCAAAAGATGGTGGTTCTCCTCCTTTATCAGACACGACAGATGTACAAATCACAGTTAAAGATGTCAATGATAATTATCCAGTGTTCAAACAAATTGCTTTTTCGGGAAGTGTACCTGAAGATGCCTTAGTAGTACAAGTAACAGCTACCGATGCAGAATGGAAAAATACATTATTCTCTAAGCGAGAAGGACCAAGAAGACGGTTCATTTGTTATAGATCCTACCAGTAGCGTTATTAGAACAAACAAAGGTTTAGACAGAGAGTTTGCGGCTTTTAACGAATTGGAAGCTTACGCTATAGATAAGGGATCGACAACACTTAGCAGCTCTGTACCAGTTACTATCAGAATAGATGATGTAAATAATTCTTCTCCAGCTTTTGATTCAGATAAAATTGTTTAATATATTCCCGAGAACAGTCCTATAGAATCTACTGTGGGAGATATTTTTGCTTAAGATCCAGATGAAGGCGTAAATGTTATAGTATAATACTCAATCATAGGAGGTGAAGATGCCCAAAGTGTTTCATTAATAACTAGACCAGGATCTGAAAAAGCTGAACTTTTAACAATGATACAGCTTGATTATGAAAGTGTTAAGAAGAAATACGATTTAATAATTAGAGCAGCTAGTCCACCTTTAAGAAGTGATGCTCATGTTGAAATTGTAGTTACAGATGTCAACGATAATGCTCCTGTTCTCAAAGATTTTCAAGTTGTGTTTAACAATTTTAGGGACTTTTTTCCTACAGGATCTATAGGAAGAATACCAGCTTACGATGCAGATGTTTCTGATAAGTTATATTACAGGATTTTGTCTGGTAACAACGCAAATTTGGTAGCACTCAACGAAAGTACAGGGCAGCTGCAATTATCACCGCAACTAAACACTAATGTACCTAAAATAGCTTCAATGGAAGTATCTGTATCTGATGGCATAAATGTAGTAAAGAAAGTTATGTCTCTTACTGTCAGACTTATAACGGAAGAAATGCTGTTTGAACGGCTAAAGATATTTTAGTAAAATTTTGTACAAAAGTTACACTCTCTTAGGTTAATCAAAACCATAATTTTATTTAAAAAAAAAATCCAGGACCGGACTCCCTTTTTTTATATTGCTCTTCTTAGCTATAATATCATTCTGTATATCGGATTTTAATAAATGTTACTGCACATTTAAATAGTACATGGATCAATAAATAAAATAATGTAATAATATTTAATGGCACCATCTTGATTTTCTTACAGACATTTTTTATAATGATGACTACAATATTATAAATCAGTATTTACAATATTAAAATCAAATATTTTACTCTGTACTTTTAAAACTCTACACAAATTAGGTACCATCTTCATTTTTTTTAACTACTACATTATCTTTTAGGAAATTGAACATCTACACAGGACCGGGCTCACTTTATTTAATAAAGTAATAGACCAGACTAACAGAAACAAATAATTAATTAAAACTAAAATAGATTTTCAAAATGAACACCGTGAACGTTAATACACTTCTGCGAACGTTCTAACAGGTTTTTAACAGATTTGTCATTTATTTTAGGTTTATTTTTAATGTTGTTACATACATTGTTCATGTTTTTTAATAACTGCTTGGGTATTAAGTGCTTTTTTATAAATTCCACACCAAACATTTTATGTGTGATCAAGTCGTTGTACTTTTTGTACATAAAATAGATACAAATTTAATTTGTTTTAAGTTCTCCATACACTTGTTTCTAGTACCTAGGTACTGCTTATTCATTATTAATTCTTACACTAACAGAAAGATGATTTCGAACCACCTCATTCATTCCTCTCTCGACGTTCATCTTTAGGTAATTATATTTGGAAATTAAAATGAACTATAGCTATGATGAAATCAAATTTAAAAGTTCAAAAAACTAGGTATTTTAAAAACAAGCTGAAAACTCAATTAAGTCAACTACCAATATGCACCAAATTACATCATCACTCATTCCGTCCTAAACATGATTATTGTAAAATTGTATAATACCAGTAGGCTTGTGTCAAATAATATCATTTATTTTATGTACAATATTTCGAGCTAAATTACTTTTGTTCATAAGTGTAAGTTTTTAATGGCATGAAAATAAGTATTTCAGGATGCCGTTTCAATTTAGTAATGAAGAATATAAAGACATTATTTTTGTGTCTTTTGTAACGGAAATGGTAGAGCAGCAGTAAGAGAGTATTACAGACGCTTCCCTAATCGCCGTTTACCTAATTTTAAAACATTTTTACAGGTTTTCGAATTCAGTAAGAAACATGGAAAGTTTCCAACTACAGCTAAACATGAACATGATAAATAACACAGGTTTACAAAAAAAAGTTTGGACTATTTGACCGGACCATGGTATTCCTAGGTATTTTGGCATCCTGAATCCGATCCCTTGGTCAGTTTTGCTCCATCATGTCAGAAAACCCAGATTTCAAGGTCATTCAGAGGTTAAAATGGTGCTTTTTCGGAACCGGCCCCAAGACAATTTCTAAAGCGATCTGTTAAGTTGAGGGGTATTTGCTAGGTCATGAATACCTTCCAGACATTGGCCAAGATCCATGAATCTCGTAGATGAGGAAGAAGCATGGAAGAGCTTCGTAAATGTTTCTCAGAAATTTCTTGGAAATACTAAAGTTCCAAACCATATGGAATTGGTGGAGGGCTTGTTCCAGAACTATAAAGCCATTGGATGTTTGATGAGCTTAAAGGTCCACTTCTTGGATTCCCAGAAAACTCGGACATTTTAGCGAAGAACAAGGTGAAAGATTCCACCAAGATATAAAAGCGATGGAAAGACGCTACCAAGGTTTTTAGGACATTAACATGTTGGCAGATTACTGTTGGAACTTGAAGAGAGATACCAACAAGGGGCATAAGAGAAAGGCGCTTAGAAGGAGTTTTGATCAAAACTGCAGACCCCATAAACAAGCACGCAAAGATTGAGAAATTGGGAGGGAAAAAGTGGGAGGCGATGGCACTATAAACAAGCACCCCGAAGGGACCAGTATCTGCAACGTCCCCGTCGTTGTTCCTGGGTAATGCTAATAGCAGAACTTATCAGCAGACTCTAAATCATAGTCGCAAATATTGTATGATAGCTACACCAATTCACTTGGTGAAATGTGACGTCTTATCAGAGGGATTGAATTCCAAAGGCCTGCCTCAGCAGAACAAAGGTGGCAAACTCTGAAGTTGCGGGTTAGGATTCTCTGGCCATTTTCTGCAACCTTAGTTTGCCCCGGACAGTATACTCAGCTTCGCCCAATTTTTGGACGATGTTCTAGGAATACTTTGAGAAATGCTAGCATTAACTAACGATAACTCAATTGTCAAAATTCTCGAACCACTTGATCATAACTCCAATGTTCTGGAAAGTTTCTAGGGCCATTCGGGTCAGTGCTGGATCCACTGGCATTATCTCAGAGCAAATTAATCGCCGAAATTAAACACCTTGGCAGGAAAATTGAAATTAGCGAGATACAACGATCATGACAACATTTTATCCACATGGCTGGCCCTGCGCTGGTCCTGGTAGAGATTTGGGGACCGTTTCCAATATTTGGAAGGTATTCAAGAACTACACAGTTACCCCTCAACTTAACAGATCACTTGAGAATTTGTCCCGGAGCAAGTTTCAAAAAAATAACCATTTTGACCTCTAAATGACCTTGCAATTTGGTTTTTCTGACGTGATAGGGCAAAACTGACCCCGGGATTGGATTCACGATGCCAAATTACCTAGGAATACATACCAAGGTCTGGTCAAATAGTTTGTAAACCTGTGTAATCTTCGACATAAGAGGAGATACTACAGTAGCTCGAAATAATCCTTCTATCAGTGTAAGAAGAATTATTATTGCATTAGCAGTACCGATACAAAGAGTATGAAAAACTTTAGAAAAAGAAAATTTGTATCCATTTCATGTACAAAAATTACAGCGACTTGAACACGGGACGACGTACCCCACTTATCTTTTTGTAGATGGACTTTGGCCCACAGAAGGACAATATCGAGAATTTTATTTACTGATGAATCCCAATTTACACGTGATGGGAACAATAACAGTAGGAATGGTCATATTTGGGCAACTGAAAATCCTCACACTCTGTATCACAAAAACATTCCCAATATAGATTTTGTATAAATGTATGGTGTGATATTTATAAAAACCATTTAATAGGCCCTCATGTTTTTGAAGGCAGATTAACAGCTAAAGTTTATTTAAATTTCTGTAGAGACATTCTGCTAAATTTGTTAGAAGGGATTAATACCAGAGGAATGTGGTTTCAACACGATGGTGCTGGACCTCATTTTCAAATACTGGTCGAAGCGGTCCCGTCAATTGGCCACCAAGATCTCCAGATCTAACACTTCTGGATTATTTTTTATGGGGCTACCTTAAATCAGAGGTGTACAATGAAAAAATGAATTCCCGAGCACAGTTATTGAAAAAAATTAATAATGTATGTAACAACATTAGAAATAAGCCGAAAATGATTGACAAATCAGTGAAAACCCTATTAAAACGTTCGCAGAGGTAGATTGACGTACACGGTGTTCATTTTGAAAATCTACTTTAGTTTTAATTAATTATTTGTTTCTGTTAGTTTGTTCTGTTACTTTATCAAATGAAGTGAGCCCGGTCCTATGTAGACGTTTAATTTCTTATAGGAAAATGCCGTAGTTAAATAAAATAAATGAAGATAGTACCTAATTTGTGTAGAGTTTTAAAAATACACAGTAAAATATTTGGTTTCAATTTTGTAAATATGGTAGTCGCCATTATAAAAATTTACTGTAAAAAAATCAAGATGGTGCCATTAAATATTATTACATTATTTTATTTATTGATCCACGTTCTATTTAAATGCGCAATAACATTTATTAAAATACGATATACAGGGTGATATTCTAGCTAAGAAGAACAATATAAACAAAGAGAGTCCGGTCCTAAAATTATTTAAAATTAAATTATGATTTTGATTAACCTAAGAGAGTGTAACTTTTGTACAAAATTTTATTAAAATATCTCCAGCCGTTCAAACAAAATGGCCGATTTTAGTTTTGGCAAAAAATCATAAAACACCCTATATCTCAGAAACGAGTAAGATTAAAGGCTAAGTATGGGCGTGTACTCTACCTCCCATTAAGCTGTGTACGTTTAAATCTCAAACACCCTGTATATATTCATTCCAGTTTTTATATTATCATTTAATTTTATTTCTATAAAAAATAATAATTTTTCAAATGTTAATATGTTTTCCATGTAACCTCAAGCAATATTTCAGGCGCTTTTCCAAATTTTCAGTAATTCATATTACGATTTAAAAACAAATATTATAACATAACTTGAGAACATTAACAAATTAAAAAACATATAATTTTCAATCTAACAAAAATTTGACAAATCTTAAAATTGTCACATTTACTATCTAAAGAATAATCATACAAGAAAATGCAAACTGTTCACTGGGAAACATTGATTGAAAACGGCATTTAAAAATGCAATATAATAAAAACAAATAAGGAATAATTAATCACAACAACGGTACTTAAAATAACGTCAAGTTTAGATCAGAAATCTGATCGTAATAAAAAAGAAAAAACTCAATAAAAGGAAATATAGTTACTTTTAAGTATAAAAATATTAACGTGAACACACTACCCATATTTACAACGAATTAAAACACAATTAACGAAGCTCACAAAAAATACTGCTGAAAGAGTCTTTCATCACTTTTATCGTCTGTATTCACGTTTTTGTCCCTTGTCGACAAGAGCCTGCAACTTGATTTGTAAAAGCATTTTTAAATCATAAAAAAATAACATTAGCGATCTTTTTTAAAAGAAATATAGGGTAACAATGTTAACATTACTAACATCAATTTCTCATTACTTTTCTCTACCTAAAATGTTCAATTGAATTTTATATTCATCTTCTTTTATCATGAAATAATTTTAAAGTTTATTTAAATTCAGATCAGAACATGTCAGAATAGATTATAATAATCTCTCTAACTTATCTCAACTTATTTAAATTTATATTAAATTAGTATCACGTGTACATCTTTTAATTTTCACCCTATTTTTCTATTTTAATCTATTCAAACGTTTTTAAGAGTTAAAAATACGAACAAATCATATTTTAGGCTATTGACTAGAGAAAATTAAAAGTATATATCTATTTCGAATAGTTCTATTTATGTAAAAGTGAACACAAAGAATTGTAGACGAATAACAGCAGCAAACTAGTGTTGAAGAAACCGCAACTAATGATATATATTCTCGAAAAAAACCGCTTTCAAGAAGTCCGATTTTTCTACGAAGTGAAACGAGCTTAACCTCACTTTGAATCTACGTATATATAACACAAAGTCAAAAACATTCTATCACCATTTTCATTTATGTTGGAACTTTTGTTACTGCTTTTAGAAGATCCGAGCTACCCGATTTTTCTAAGTTCATTTTCATCGGATCGTGATGGTGTTGGTGTAAGTTCTGTTCTAATTTTTGTTGCTTTTCTTGCTGTTGCTGCTTGTGTCGTTCCTGTTCCTCTCTTTCTCTCCTCGCCTGTTCGTTGATTTCTTTTACTGCTCGGAGTTCCTTTTTAAGTTTCATCCTTCTGTTTTGGAACCAGATTTTTATCTGTCTTTCTGTCAGACATAGAGCGTGTGCAATTTCGATACGCCTTCTCCGTGTCAGATAGTGGTTGAAGTGAAATTCTTTTTCGAGTTCTAGTGTTTGGAAACGTGTGTACGTTTGTCTGCCTCTTCGCCTTGGACAGCCGTTTGGACCTGAAAATAAATCTTAAGGTTAATTCGGATTGCGGATAGACGAGTTCATTCGGATCACATTACATAAAAACAAAAACTACCTACATTATGAAGGTTATGTTCCCAAATTGTAAAAAAATAGCTAATTATATCTATTTAAAAGGTATAAACACAAAAAATATAAAATTAAACAATACGATTTATTAAGCATTAATATCAGGGGCGGTTTCTCCGTTGGTTTATTTGTGCAGTGAACACCCAGTTACATTTCATACAACACATTATTTTAAAATAAATAACAAAAATATAAATTTAATTTTAATAATTTTATTGTTTTCATACGTTTTAATCTCTATTTTTGGGTACACCACTGCGCTCTAGCTAATTGCCTCGTTTTGATGAAGTATATTTCATGTGCAAATTTTCATGTTTTTTAGGTTTCTGAATCGACAAGTTCAATTAAAATTTAGTTTCTGTAAAAAGGAGACTTTGAAAATCGTCAAATCAAAGATGCAAGGATGCTTCCGGCGAAGTTGGAGTGGCAAAATACATGCGTTTGCCACATCATTATATAAAACATGAAAGAATACTTCTATAATTATGTGGCCTCTATATCTTATTGTTTTTTTTTAACAATGTACTGTGCTGTATTGTTTTTGAAAACCAAGTTTTAATGATGTGTTCGTTTTTAGTAACATTTATTTTGAGATCATCTTACTTTAACTCCTTAATTTGTACAATCATGGTATCTATACAAGGAAAATACATAAAATGTTTATTCTCATCTCACTGTAACTCTTTAATATGTACATTTAGTGATGAGCGAGAGTGGTCTTAGTCTTGGTCTTGCTTTTATGCAAGACCAAGACCAGTTGAAAGCTTGCAAGACCAAGACCGAGTGTGCAAGACCAAGATCAAGTTGTGCAAGACTTACGCAAGACCAAGAATCTTGCGGTATTGCGTTCTTTAATTGTTGCCTGAAAATAAAAGGTAAGTATATAAACTTTCGTCTCGAAAAACCTTGGTTTTAGATATATAGGGTGTGTCTTTAGAAATGTGTAAAATAATAAATATACATTCAAAGCAGTTTATTTGTTCAATGCGTGATATTCGCCAGCCGTGGATTGCATAAAGCTAGGTTGCGAAATGTTATAATTTAAACGTCATTTAAAAGTTCATTTATATATACTTTCTTACTGCGTTTAACTAGAGTTGACACAGAAGATATATAGGACCTTATATCGTTTCGTCTCGATATTTCGCGATACATTTTTTCGAGCCTTGTCTCGTCTCGGTTCGTTTTATGTTTTATCACGTCTCAATTTTATTATTATAAAAAATAAAATACAAGAAAATATTAGGACTTATTTAGTCTTAACATAACAGGCACGAATTTAAATAGAATAATATTTGAATTATTCTTATGAATTAATATTATTACTGAAAATAACCAACTATAATTCAAATAAGTTGAAACCCCCCAATCTCAGCTTATTTGAATGAAACCTCAAACAATATTTACAAATCAAATTTAACCAACTATAATTCAAATAAGTTGAAACCCATTATTAAAGAATAAAGTAAGAAATTATTCAGAACCAAGCTTTTATTTTTTTTTTTTTTCATATTCAAGTGTACAGCATATAAAAATTACTAATTAACACATTTATAATTTTAATTTTTAAAACTGTTTACAGCTTTTTACATGCTGTACATTAAGTTTATACTTAAAAACAAAAAATAATATTTTTGGAAACGTTTAATAAAAAAGATTTAAATAAAAAATATATGTGGTTTGTTTACAATTAAAAACAACAAGCTTTAGAAGATAACTATATTTACTGTTTGCGCAGTTAGTTCCTGATTCTATAATGTGCATTACAAATAGAGACCACTTAGGTAATATCATAACAACGATATGTTACACTTTACCATTTTACTACGTTTCGTCTATGAAAATATCATCAGCTCTGTAGCTTCTGATGATACCGTTTCTTACTTGATTAAAACAAGATAGATAATTAAATAATAATTAAAAAACAAAAAATAAAATTTTAAATATTATTTGAAACATAATATAAGAATTATTTAATTACAAAATGGGTTACAATTTTTTATCAAACATGATTAAGTACAACCAGCAAACGAGACTAATGAAGAACGAATTATGGTTGTAATAAAGTTAATAACAAAAACTAAATTCAAAAACAAAAACAGTCACAATAGTTGCTCAAAATGGAGTCCATTCTGTTGGATACACAGTGCAATTCTCCTAGACATTTGGGATGTAGTTTTATCAACCATTTCTGGTGTAATTTTTTCAAATGCAGGCCCATACAAAATAATCCATGGGATTAAGACACGGAGATCGAGGAGGCCATCTTATTGGTCCACTGGTACCAATCCAATTACCTCTAAAATATTGATCGAGATACTCTGCAACCCTCCTAGCATTGTGTGCACCACAACCGTCTTGCATAAAGTATTGAAGATTTTGTCTTGTTTGTAAGGGCATCTCATCGAGACTTCCTCCAATAAATGTAGGTATCGGAACTGATTTAAATTACCATCCAAAAAAATCGGCCCAATAATCTGATTATTGATTAGTCCACACCACACATTTTGGGTAAAACGGAACTTCTCTAATTAAATGGGGATTAGAAGTAGCATACAAATGCTTGTTTCTGGGATTAAATATTCCACTATTAGTAAAGGAGCATTCATCCGCTCATATCTTTTTGTTGAAAGAACGGTCATTGCGCAGTTTTCTACTATACCAACGACCAAACATCAGTCTTCTATCAGAGTTTCCAGCGTGTAATTTCTGGACTTTAAAATTTATACCCGTGGTATTTATGTTCCTTTAAATTTCTTTTAACCGTGGAGGTTAATATGTATTTGGGCAAGAACATTAATTTCAATATCAGTATGTCGAACCTGATGTCTAGTTCTCCTTTTGAGTGTGAAAAACCTAAGCCGTTTTGTTTTTCATTTTATGTTTTTGTTATTAGCTTTATTATTTGTAGAATGTGTACAACTATAATTCATTATTCATTAGTCTTGTTTGCTGGTTGTACTTAATCATGTTTGATAAAAAATTGTAACCCATTTTGTAATTAAATAATTCTTGTATTATGTTTCAAATAATATTTAAAATTTCATATTTTAAGCATTTTTTGTTTTTTAATTATTATTTAATTAGCTATCTTGTTTTAATCAAGTAAGAAACGGTATCATCAGAAGCTAAATAGCTGATGATATTTTCATAGACGAAACGTAGTAAAATGGTAAAGTGTAACATATCGTTGTATTTAGCTATACAAAAGCTATAAAAAATTACAGTTAAAAATTCAGGTCCGTATTTAAAAAAATAAGTTGAAGGTGGCCCTGCAAATACGAAACGTCGTAATAAAAATTTGACATGACAGATTATAGCAAACTTGATTTATAACAAAAAATTCGTATAATTTTTTTTGTATCTTTTATAATAATAACGCACGACTTAAAAAACGAAAATGAGGTTTTACGGATTTTATCGAATATCTCCGGAACCAGTCAGAAAATCTGGAACTTTTATGGACCATTGTATTATCCGTCAAAATACGAAACTTTTTCCTAATTTAACCGACAATGTATATCTTACGGTTTACGAGATCTCTGTATACGCAAATTAAATCCGGTCCACCCACTATATCTTCATTCTAGTTTGTATCTGTGTAATTTAATCTATTGTGATGGGACTGATCTTAAAAAATAAACATTTTAGTTTACTTGTTTTATTTTCCTACAAAAGGTGGTGTTTAAAAATATATTATTTTATTTGACATGTGTGACAAATTGTGAAAATGATTATATTTACAACAAAAGTTGAAAAACAGTAGTTATAATTTCATATAATAATATTTTTTACACAAGCTTTCTACATACCTAATTGATAAATGTATATTCAAAAATAATCTCAAAATATGAAGAAAATTCAACTGACTATGATAATGTTTATAGTCGGTTATAAACGTATTAAAAACAGAACAAATATTACAATATCTAAATTATGCATTAATTCATTCATTAATAGTTGTAGTGCTTGAAAATAGTTTATTATTAATATTAATAACTATACTGAATACAAACCCAAATAAAAAACAACGATTTGTACAAAGTTTTTAACCGAAATTACAAATGATAAAATTATTGGAAAAAATTTAACACCCATTTTAAATTACTACGAGCCGCCACTGTTCAGGACATAACTTCCTTGAGGCATTTTTGGATATATGTTTATAGAAATGTTCTGCCTTATTTTCACCTGTATAATACCCTGTAAAAATATGTGTCTTTAATTTTGGAACACCCTGAATATAATAAAATTATCTGCAACAAAAAATATGACAGAGAAGCGATTAGAAAAGATTCTTTATCAGTCAAAATACATTATATCAATGTCTATTAAATAAAGCCTAATTCTGAAAACAAACATACTTTAGGTGGCCTGTTTTTAAATATTATGCTATTCTCCTTCTTCTCAAAAATATTTTCAAATATCTCTATTTTTTTATTATTTTTCCCATTTAAAGAGTATATAAAGTATCTATCCAAAATTGCTTTAAAAAATCATTAGACAAGTCGGTAGCATTATTTTTGTTTCATCAATATTATTTTTAAATTGAATACCTATGTATTTATCTATTTTTGGATCCTGCACACAAATCTGATTGCACAAATGTAGCAAACTTCGATTGTAATTTGATAATTTGAAAGAACAGTCAACAGAAAACAATAGAAAGCAAATATTTTTTTTATATTTGGTTTTAGAACAAATAGAAATCAATCATATTAAAATCAGTTGTAGTAAATGTTCGAACTGTAGTCCTTGTTGTGACCGAGAGAGCACTAAAAGATCGAAGAAAATATTTTTGAACATGTTTATGAAACAGCGTTTCTTTTCAAGAGTGTTACAATTTTGGAAAAATTAATTTATTTAGAATTCAAAAAATGAATAATAATTTGTAGGCTGTACCATT